TCCCCCCCCCCCCAATTTTCCCGAAAATTTCTGTTTCCCCCCTTTTAAAAAACGGGGGGGGGGAATGGATTTCCCCCCCCTGAACTTCAAAATTTCCAAAAATTTTACATCTCTAGGCTGGACTGGACTTGGGCTGGCTCAGCTGCTGCAGAAATGACCATCGGTGCCAGGAAGAGTCCTGAGAAGTTGGTCAGATACCGGTTTAGGTATCGGCTTGCTGGATAAGACCAAGCTCTGTCGAATCCAGCATTCTGTGGAACTGTGGAATAGCCAGGGATTGATGTGCTGGTACAGGTGGGCATTCCCTCCTGTTTGGCCCCAGTACCTGTTGTGCAGAGGCAGTTTTACCGGCCATATTTAAGGCTGTTCCACCTGGACTTTGGCTAAATCCAGACTGGCGCAGAGAGGTTGTGGGGCGGCCCGGAGCTGATGCCCGAGCAACATTTTGATGCAGTAGAACAGAGCAGGAGTCCAGTAGCACCCTAGAGACGAACAAAATTTGTGGCAGGGGATGAGCTGTCGGGAGTCACGGCTCACTTCTTTAGATACAGCTGGAATGGCCCAGTCTAGCATCCTGCCTCACACAGTGGCCAACCAGTTCCCCTGGAGGGCCAGCAACAGGGCAGAGAGGCCGAGGCCCTCATTAGAACCTCAGAAGAGCCCTGCTGGATCAGACCAGTGAGGGTCCCTCTAGTCCAGCATCCTACCTCACACCGTGGCCAACCAGTTCCTCTGGAGGGCCAACAACAGGGCAGAGAGGCCGAGGCCTTCATTAGAACCTCAGAAGAGCCCTGCTGGATCAGACCCGGGGTCCATCCAGGCCATCATCCCGTCTCTCACAGTGGCCAACCAGTTCCTCTGGAGGGCCAACAACAGGGCAGAGAGGCCGAGGCCTTCATTAGAACCTCAGAAGAGCCCTGCTGGATCTCAGACCAGTGGCCCATCTAGCCCAGCCTCCTGTCTCACACAGTGGCCAACCAGTTCCTCTGGAGGACCAACAACAGGACATAGCGGCGGAGGCCTTCATTAGAACACAAGAAGAGCCCTGCTGGATCAGACCAGTGGTCCATCTGGTCCAGCATCCTGCCTCACACAGTGGCCAGACATTTCCTCTGGAGGGCCAATAACCAGACCAAGAGGTCGAGGCCTTCATTAGAACATTAGAGGAGCCCTGCTGGGTCAGACCGATAGTCCATCTGTTCCAGCCTCCTGTCTCACACAGCGGCCAACCAGTTCCTCTGGAGATCCAACAACGGGGCATAGAGGCTGAGGCCTCCCCCTGATGTTGCCTCCTGGCTCTGGGATTCAGAGGTTGACTGCCTCTGAACGTGGAGGTTCCCCTCAGCCACCATGGCCAGTAGCCACTGATAGACTTATCCTCCGTCCGGTCTTCCAGATCTTAGTGCAGTATACTAACCACTCTAGCGGGCTTGATTTTCGGTATCAGGATGAGTTTCTTGAACAAGAGCTAAATCTATTTTATTGGCCAGTAAGATTAGCGACAAGTATTGGCATTTAGACTCACAGATACCCTCAACATTCACTTGGCAGATTCGGATGCCGTCTCCCATACCCCTTGTCAAGTAGCCCTGAGAAGGACTGTTTGATTGGTTGATCGTTTCTGTGTGTGTGTGGTGTAGCCAGGAGACCCTATGGTTGTCTGGCAGCCACAAGTTCTAGCTCTCTAGCGTTATCCACAGTGCACCCCAAGGAGGCGAGCTAGAATTGCACCCCAGACAAAGATCCCAACACCCACCAATAAGATCTGCACAAATCCTGCAGACAGGGCTCTTTTTGTAGCAGGAACTCCTTTGCATATTAAGTGACACACCCCCTAATGTAGCCAATCCTCCAAGAGCTTACAGTAGCTTCTGTAAGAAGAGCTCTGTAAGCTCTTGGAGGATTGGCTACATTAGGGGGTGTGGCCTAATATGCAAATGAGTTCCTGCTTCAGCCTAGGGAATAAATGGCTGCAGACGGGCGGTCAGTTTCACCCGATGGCCATAACCTGATAAGCACCAACGAGAGGCCCGCAGGATTTGACTCGCCACATAAAGTGTGGAAGACAGCTAGTAGAATACAAACAGGCTTTGGCAGTTGTGCAGACCTGTTGTTTAAAGGGCAAAATGCCAGGACCCGAATGCGACTGTGGTGCAGCCCGCCAAACTATTTTCCGACTGTCACAGGAATGTGAGCATCATGCTTTCCAGGGTGATGTGCCAGAGCTCTTTGAACTCTCCCCCGCGGCAATTGAGTGGATGGAAAGTTTAGATATTAGTATTGGGGGCGGGGGGGGGGCGTTTCCCAATTGGTCTGCATACCCCATGTATCAACTTGGTTACGTATTTTATATTATTATATAATTATTATATAATATTATGAGAGCCAGTTTGGTGTAGTGGTTAAGTGTGTGTACTCTAATCTGGGAGAACCAGGTTCGATTCCCCACTCCTCCACTTGCAGCTGCTGGATGACCTTGGGCAAGCCGTAGTTCTGGCAGAGCTGTTCTCTCAAGGACAGTCCTCGAAAGAGCTCTCTCAGCCCCACCTACCTCACAGGGTGTCTGTCGTGGGGAGAGGAAGGGAAGGAGATTGTAAG